TAATATACCAACATCAATATTATTTTGAATGTTGAATATCTAGACTCGAAAAAAGGTAGACGCCCAAAACTATTTTTCCAAAACATATTTTCATCCCAAAAATAAAGAATATGGATGATTAACAAAAGAAAAAAAAAGCATGACTTGCCTTTGTTTAAGAGGCAGAGAATAAATCCCCACATATAGGTAAGGAGACACTCAACAAGAAGAAAGTTCTCATTTTTATGAGAATGAGAAAAAGAGGTTGAAAATTTTATAAGAATTTTCCAAATGGTGTATTTTTGTACTAAGTTTTATAAAATATCATTTGAACATAAGAGATTGAAATTTTAATCTCTCATTGTAAAAAGTCAATAAGCTCTAGTAGAAAGGACTAATTCTCCACAGCTTGACGTACCAAAGTTTGGATGAAAGAATTTGTCAACATTTAATGAAGTAAGATCACCTTCACAAGAAAATATTAAAAAAGAGAAAAAAATCAAATTCAAAGTATTCAAGACACAGTTAGAGAATTAAATGGTTGAAAACATCAGAGATACGCAAGGACATCAAAATTCTATATGAAGTCTCTGCAAATTACATAATTCTCTGGTTACAAGTAAACTAAATATAGTTGCTTATATAATTTTCATAATATCATCAATAAATCAAGATAGCAATAAAGGGTACTCACCTGTAGTAAAACTTGTATAATTATTGATTATTACAAGTACCCTCCTAATTCCAGCGAACTTACCCTATTATCTTTGAATATACATGAACTAATAACACCATCTACCTAACATTAGATAGCACAGTGAACATTTTGTGCTGAACATCTGAAGTGAAGGTAAACCTTCCCTACATATTTTGATGACAGCAACTATCATAGATGTATATACTCAGAACTAAGACTTTCACACTTGAAAAAACAAAAGTCCAGGCCTAAAGCAAAGAATATCTAATATACAACATTACATGGATCCATATTCCAATGACTCCCAACTGAATGGCTGGAATACGAAATAGACTTTGGGTGAGCTTTTGAAGAGCAAAGCCACGCAGACACACACAGCTGCAATGGCAACCATTGACAGCATTGCTGGCCTATAAACCAGTGCACTTCTCATACCACCGTACGCCAACTTGTGCTGGCATACCCCACAATGTCGCACCATTGCTGTTGTTTCAATCTTCTCAGTTTGCAAACTTGAAACTTTTGATGACCTATGGCCATCTGATTGCTTCTGCCTTATGTTACTATCTACAAGAGTGCCAGGGATATTAAGTACATGTTCACTTTTGCATGTGTTGCTTATTTTCGTCTGGACAAGTTGAATGTAGGAGTAGTAGCCCCGCAGGGATGCATGATCATAAGGGGTCAAACCTGTAGTGTCCTGAGCACTTTTCCATGCCTCAATTCCCACCTGAACATGTAAAACAAAGGAGTGAAATAGTTTTTACCACACCCTGCCACATGTAATTCAATTAAGAAGAGACAGTTAAACTGAATCCAGGACAGGAGCTTGCTCAACAAGAAGGTGAAAAGTGGGGAACATGAAGAGTGCTTTTAAGTATTATCATAATATAGTGGCGATTGAAGAGCTTGGAGGATATATGTGCATATCACATCTTAATCTCCAGAAAGGCATTTTGACAGCTCAAAAAAATGGCTCATGACACTTCCAAGATTTTTTTTTTAATTCATTTCAATAAATTTCATAGTGAAACTTACAAAAATAAACTCACGTGATATACTCATTTAAAAAGTGCTTTTGTTTACCCAAATGTTCCATAACACATCTCCCATATGTTGCATTGGAGACCCACTAATTAATACTATGGCCAAATAGTATATATGAATGAGGCTGATCCTCATGAGGGTCATCCTAGAGGTAGTTGGACCTATTAGACCACTCCGTATCAGATTATTATCAGAACATCCACAAATGTCTAGTTAAACACAACTTAGGAGCAATATATCCAGTGTTTGGTATATAAGAATTGTTAGAGATCTCACATTCACAAGTGATATGGTTAAAATAGTGTATATAAATGAGGGGCAGTCCTTACCCTATGAGCTAACTTTTGGAGTTGTCTTAAGAAGATCCAAACCCAAATTCTAAAACCTGGAGTTTGTAAAGGTTAAAAAAGTAAATGAAGATGTATGATGCATACAGAAGAGAAAGGAATTACCAGTCCTGGATCATCAGTTAATGCATCCAATACATTATCCGAACCATGCATACTTGCTGCAACATGAAGGGGAGTCAATCCAGAAGGCCCAACAGAATCAGGTCTGAATATGAATCTATTAGGGGACTTGTTGACTTGCTTCTCTTTACTGATTCCACCAACTGAAGTATTAGCTGGCACAAATTTTAGCAGTAGTTCCACCATAGGCCTGCAATTTCTTTTTACAGCTTTGTGCAGAAGATCCATCTTTAACAATGATAACTCAACTGATGTATGCTCTCCTATATCCACAGTGCCTTCAAAGATAATGTTCAAGAGCTTTTTCATCACAGCACACCAGTCATGGTCCATAGAGAAGCCAACAAGCCACATGAACCGATTAAAATGGAAGCAATCTTGTAGAGGTGCCACAGGACCCAGCCTAACTTTCGCACGGTTTCTGTGAAGGAGCCAACCCATTTCTTGTACGAAATACAATGCTTGGGTCTTTTCTTCCATTAGTTTAGTTTTCATTTGGATGTCATCAGCAGTCTCGGCTGCCTCAATGACATTCTCCAGCTTACATATCTCTGAACAAATTTCTTGCTCTGCAACTATGAATGGAAAGGAACAGCTGCTAAGACCATTATCTTCCACCTGAGTAAAGATTATCATATCAGATATAAAAAATATAGCTTTAAAAACAAGAGAAAGCAAAATCATATTTATGCAGAATATCTTTTATCTGAATCTAACACTTGACAATTGTCTGCTTGAATAGCTGAAACTAACTATCTATCCGCATTTTTGCATGGACGGGTTACTTGGCTCCATTCAGCCATTTCATAAACCATCTGAAAATTTGTTGGTTTCAGGAATAAAGTATCACTTACATAACCAATTTTGCCAAGGGAATAGCCACATAATTGCATATTAAATCAATGTCTCAAGACAGGAAAAAGGGGAATGGGAGATGTCAAACCTAGGACTCACTCTCATTTATTGAATGGTTTTCAATAGTTCATAAGAACCTAAAACTATGAAGGACCTGCAAAGTATATTAAAGTTGAAGTCACCAAA